TACCTGGCTATGGTGGACGGCATCTTCATCTTCTTTGTTGGTGCTACACCTAGAAGGCCCTGTACAAGGTGCACTTCTTCGAGGACAACTTCGGTGCAGAGATAGGCAGCACGGCCTGAGTAGGGGGAGCATATCAGCTTTGCGTTGTCCTTTGAACATCGGAGTTGGGCTCCGCTAGTCCGCCATACTCACCTACTAGGAGAAGGAAGAAGGAGGTGTAGTGTGTGGCAATGGTGGACCTCTAGAGTTGCTGGCAGTAAGGAGGAAATTCAGACATTGATTCTGGTTTATTCTTTTATTGTTATTATTCTTATTGTTCAGAAAACGTTGGGGGAGTTCAAGGTGGTTGGAGATGGTGGCGAGTGGGAAAGGGATTTGACATTGGTCTTTGCTGGTGTACATCTTCTTCTCTTCCATTCTTTTTTTTTTTCTTCCCTTGTTTATTTCTCTCTCCAAACTCTTTCTTTTCAATTGCAATTGAACAACACAACCAGAATCGTAACAACTACTACTACAACTACTTCCACTTACTACTATTACTATTACTACCTCATCTACTGCTACTACTTTTCGCAACACCACTGCTGCTACTACAAGCCCCTCCTCCGTAACTTGTCCTCCTACCTCCGTCCTCCACCACCCATCCTCCCGCTCGCCGTCTTTTTATTCCACCGACCATCGTCCTGCCTCCTTCCGCGTTTGTTGCTGCTCATTGCCCATCCTCCCTCGTTCGTCCCTTCTTCCCTGCTCCCTCCCTCATCGCCCCTCCTCCCTCCACCATTGCAAATCTTTCCTCCCACCATTTCTTTTTTTTTGGTCTCTGTATCTGGCCTCCTCGGTTGCTAGGATTCTTCTTTGCTACGACTCTCCTCCTTGCATCGTCCCTCCATCGCATATCCTCCCTCCTCCCTCGTCCGTGGCCCCTCCTCCCTCCTCCATGCTCCATCCTCCTTCCCTCCACATGTATCACCCCTCATCCCTTCCTCCCTCCACTTATGTATTGTCATGTTCGCTATTCACAACTCCAAAAAAAGAAGGCATGTCTGTGTCAAACTGTTTAGGGTGTGTGTGTGTGGGTGTGAGAGAGAAGGGATACTTGGGGTCCTGGGTGCAGGGGTGCTACATTGAACCATGTTGCATGAAACTTTTTTCTATTGTTAGTTTGTTTCTTCGTCTACCCCTGTGGGAATGTAACTTTGACGTTCCTGGCCACAGTTTTGGCGTTTCTTTAACCGAAATTGTCACGACTTACCGTGTTCCCACTAGTACAACCTGACGATTTCGGTCCAAGAGAAGTCGAAATTGCAGCCAGGAACGTCGAAGTGACATGCTCAAAGGAGTATTATCATTGTGTGTGTATGTGTGCGCATGTATGTGTGTGAGAGAGAGAAGAGAGTGGGGGAGTATGTGTGTGTATGGATGTGTGCATCTGTTGGGAAAGGAGAGAGAGACCATAAGGTTGCAAAATTTGCCATGAACATATCGTTCTCTCAGCAGAGTTTCAAGCTTCGGCCGGCACTTCCAGAAATCCGGTTGTGGAGAGGCCGCGCCCTCTGCCATCGATTCGTGACTGCCACCCTTCAGGGAAAAGGTGGGTGTGGTTCTATGCTTGTTTCAACTAGTTTTGCAAGAGACTGTGACCACCTCTTTAATGGGTGGCATCGTACCTAATGATTGTGTGTAGAATCTGTAGATGCCGAAATTGCGGCCAGACATGTCAAAGTTACATGCCATAATGAGTATTTTGATAACCACCACTCGTGTTCCATTTTATTTAATTTTATTTTATTTTATTCAAGGTTGCCGGCGTTCGGGACGGGCCGAACGCCCGAACCCGAACGCCCGAACGTCCGGGCCGCCCTGTAGACACGTTCGGCGGTTCGGGTCGAACGCGGACCAAAAGAAACAAAAAACAAAAACAAAAAGAGTCGTCCAAAAAATCTGAAAACAATATATGTTATGCTGAACAACATTTGCCTCCAAGTGACATCCAAATTCGTTACCAAATTTGAAATAGAAATAAAATACGGAAAAAAAAAAAAAAAAAACAAACTAATTTGAGGAGAGAATTAAAATCACTGTGCGGGCGGGCATGTTTAAACACCTCCGTCTTTGGAGATTTTTCATTTTGTTTTGGCTTAGTCAAATCCCCTGAAAATTCATATATGTGTATCTCACATGATACACCACTCGTTAAAAAAAAAAAAAAAAAAAAAAACAATAAAATTGTTTCGGCCCCGAAACAAAGTGAAAACAAAAAGAGAAAAGAGAAAAAAAACAAAATAGTGAGTGGGTGAGCACGTTTTGACACCGCCATCTTTGGCGATTTTTTTTATTTTTTTTTTGGCTAAGCAAAATGATCTCAAAATTTAGAGGCATGTACCTCACATCATAGAGAACTCACAAAAAAAACTTCAAGAAAAAATAATAATTTCTAGGCCCCGAAGTATTTTTTGGCGGGGTCCAAACCTCTTCAGGTTCGGAGGGGTTCGGCACCCGAACGGGACCCCGAACGCCCGAACGTACGGAGGTTGGCCTGGGGGCCTCCGTACGTACGGGCTGGTAACCATGATTTTTTTCTATTTTTTTTTTCCTTTCTGTGAGGCTGCTCCATCATTTATTGGTGGGGAGCAGCACCTGCTGGAAACCGGGTCCAGCGTTTCATTGATACATTATATAGCACAGGGATTGCTGTTTGTTGTTTAGTGGGGCTGTGGCCATTTCACTCCTAAGTCCGGGGCTCCGCTGTCCCATTTTTTGTGTTCCAACTTCTTCAGGTATGTGTTTCATAGCTTCTTATGAGGTTGACACGGCAAGCGGCCTCCGGTGGGTGATGACCAGGAGTGAACGAAGTTAAGGAGTGGCACAGTGTGATTGCGCGATCACCTTCTAGTTTGACATCAGAGGAAGGGAGGATCACCTCGTAACGCCGGTCTGCAAACCGTCCACCTTACAGCATGAAGTAACATAGAAATTGGGAAAGAGGCCACCAATGGGCGTAAGCTCAGTTGGGAATGAGGCACCAATGGGCCTACCTCAGTCGGTACAACGATGAACTGCTGGAATGCAGACCCTACCGTCTTCTCACCCGAATAGAACGCCCGGTCATTAATAGCCGTATTTACTATTTGGTGCAATTTTCAGTCCAGACTCCAGACACAGCTAAAATGACCGGGCGTTCTCTTCCGGTGAAGACGGTAGTTTGAATCCAAATGCAATCAGATGAACCAAATAAAATGATAAGAAAATAAAGAAAGAAATTGGAAACACCAACATGTAGGAGGCAGACATCGAGCAGAGTGACGTAGCAATGGCTCCCCTGCGATGGCAGCACTCCTGCGAATGTGGTATTTCACATTCACAACCCATCGCGGAGCCATTGCTACATCACTCTGCTTGTATGCTGTTTCCTCACAGACATAAGTCCATCACAGCCATTCTCCCTCCCTCTCTCTCTCTCTCTCTCTCTCTCTCTCTCTCTCTCTCTCTCTCTCTCTCTCTCTCTCTCTCTCTCTCTCTCTCTCTCTCTCNTCTCTCTCTCTCTCTCTCTCTCTCTCTCTCTCTCTCTCTCTCTCTCTCTCTCTCTCTCTCTCTCTCTCTCTCTCTGTGCAGTCCCTCATCCGGGGGTCTGTTTGGAGTCGTTCCTTGCACTCGACCTGATCTTACACCGTCCTTCTCAACCTCCCTACCTGGAGTGTGGGCTTGACCAGAGTATCGAGAGTGGCAAACACAGAACACGAGATTATCTCATATATTCGTTATACAATAGAAAAATGAATAGATAAGAGTATGATGAATAGAGAGAAATAAAAGAGATTTTTGTGATCCTTTGTCCTCATATGGCACTCTTAAATTCTAATTACAGCAAAACTATAGAATGGCAGAAGCAAACAGAGCTTTTGCGCATTTTAGGTATTAAAACACTTTTCACAAAATGATAAAAATGAAGTTGAATACCAAAAGTGCTGGCAAAAAACACGAGAATTCATTATGGAAAGTTGGGAAGAGAAGAAGCACGAGAGGTCGATGCTGGAAGTAGCAAAGAAAAAAACAGAATAATTCAGTACCGAAAGTAGAGAAGAAAAAAACATGAGAATTCAATACGGAACGTCGCAACAAAAAAAACACAATGATTCAAAAGTTCACATGCTGCATCTAGCTGATCTGAACTGGTCCTTTTTGTCAGTCACATGCTGCTAACTGACCTCATCTGGTCCTTTTTCCGCCACAAGCGTTGGCTGCTTGGTCAGGGTACCAAAAGCGGGTCAAGAAAACCTGAGAATTTGCTAAAGCACTTCTGTCAAGTTCTGTGACTGAAGATAGGATATGTACACAGGAGGTCATCTACACAGGGAGGGAGGCCCCTGTCCCTTTCAAAATTCGACAAACGTGTTCGCTGTCCGTATCCGATACATCTCACCCAACATTACGGTCGACACGACTCGACAGCACATAAAGCATAGGCAACAATGGGTTACCCGGCACTGGGCCTCGGCCTACCACTTACCAAATGTGAAAACTGAGAATGCACCTTCCGCAAGAACATGGAAAGATACATGACCATAATTTTTGTCTTTTGTGCATGTCATGAGTGGCAGAGCAAAGCCCAGTGTCTCCAGCCTGGAAGGTAGGGTAGGAGATGTTCAGCACAACATGGATGCGATAGCGAGGCAACGGCAATGATCCGCAGCCAGATTGGCATAAAAAAGCAAAAGTCAGGCTAGCAGGACAGACACAGAGAACAGCTTTACTCAGACAGTAAATGTCACACAACTTACAAGAGAGTGTGAAAGCATATTAGACACTTGCGAGACGTGGCATCGACAATGATCCGCAGCCAGATTGACATTAAAAAAGGCAAAAGGCAGCAGGACAGACACAGATCTCTTATACACATCTAGATGTGTATAAGAGAAGCATATTAGACACTTGCGAGACGTGGCATCGACAATGATCCGCAGCCAGATTGACATTAAAAAAGGCAAAAGGCAGCAGGACAGACACAGAGAACAGCTTTACTCAGACAGAAAATGTCACACAACTTACACAAGACAGTGTGAAAGCATATTAGACACTTCTGAGACCATCCGGCTGCGTGATAACACACACAATACTGTCTATTGTTAACAACACCACTCATGATCTGTTGCTCGCCCCTCCTATGCACACTGACCAGTAAAGTGAGGAGGTGGTCTGAAGCATGATGCGCATGCTCATACAATGCGGTTCTTCTGCGAAAGGAAACCTCGGACTACGTTGTATATTTGAGTTATCAACGGACACGCGTAACTGTCTATTTAGTATTTAAACAAAATATCTAATGATCTGTCGTTACAGAGATCATCTTGATGCATTCAGAAATTTCAGATCAATACAACAATAAGGCTACTTGGGGTTACCCCATGACCAAATCCTTGTTGGCAAAGACAAAAAAAAAGAAAAAAGAAGAAGAACAAAAAAAAAACGCGTGTCATGCAACGGATAGAACGCACAGACACTATCGTCGAGCTCATCTGGGTGACTGGCACACACCTGCAACCATGATATGTGGTCACACAGATCGTGAGATCAAATTCTTGCGAATTCAGACGAATGCAATCAAGCTAGGGGTGACCCCCTTTCACAAAAAAGAGCCAGAGTAGACACTAAGAATGCTCTCTCTCACACACACACACACAAAAAAAAAAAAAAAAAAAAAAAAACCTGAAGTTTTTTAATGCATCCACGGTCATTTCACAAAAGCCAAATCTGATAACAGCCGGACAACACATGACACAAAGGGCAGTGCAACTGAGCACTCCAGCAACTGCAGCAACAGCTGCTGACACAGCACAACGCAATGGACAAGGGCAAAGATAACCGAAAGACATACTCGCACTCGAGCCTCCCTGGATGTATCTGAGCATAGTTCTGGCCAGATTCCGTGGAAACGAGTCCTTGTGTGAATGTGTACTCAGGCAACAGGAGAAAATAAACTTGACGGTAGGCTCATCTGATTCCCTAGACAGGTCTGCTGACACTCCTCCAGGGCTAAGAACGAGCGGACTGCTTCGTAGTGGGGACAGACGGTGCACTCATGATGTCTGGGGTCAAGAGTCTCAAGACTTTGAGGCTCGCACCACTGGATTCGATCCACAACACATTCCCTCCTCCCTGGCAAGTAATATGCCACTATCAGTGCAAGCATGTGCCCCTGTTTTTCTGCATTTCGACTGCTTTCCGGCAATGCTTGTTACCTTCCGGGGCCCGCATAGCTGCCGGGCACACAAAAACTGATGCACAATAGCTTTGTACACTATGGCATAGCAGGTGCCATGAAGAATGGCCAACATACTTGCTAGACAACGATAATCTCGCGAAGGATGAATGAAGCGAGGTTTGGGTGACACTGCTGCTGGGGTCAACGTCCACTGAAGCACAATTCGAAGCTTGCATCGTCCAAATCTGCCCCCATCGCAATGCTCTCGTCGGCATCAACCTTCCTCCGCAAAAAAACCGACGCAAGTTTGAACCTTGCGTCGCGCCGAGCTTCTCATTGAACACTTGCTCTCGTCGACACCAGCCCCTTTCGAAGAACAAACACTTCCAAACCGTACATGCAACTTTCACCGCATACGGCTCTCCAAGTCAATCTTACGAGGCCATATTCCCCACACTACCTAAAGTCCCTTCCTCACTCACCTCCAAGGCACCTTGACCAGTGAATCCGCTCGCATCTGGTGGTCCCCACACTACCTAAAGTCCCTTCCTCACTCACCTCCAAGGCACCTTGACCAGTGAATCCGCTCGCATCAGGTGGTCCCCACACTACCTAAAGTCCCTTCCTCGCTCACCTCCAAGCCACAGCGAACCCTGCATGCCTACGGGTGATGTGCTCTCAAAAGCCGCTGTTCTCAACCTGCCATCGATAAGCCCGTAGTTACTGAACAACGTGCGTTTACGGCATCAGGCCGCGCCGCGCACGCACGGCCTTGAACCGACACCCTCAGCCTCAAGAACGAAGTCTCGTAACCACTACAACCCTTGGAGGTGTTGTAAAAAATGGATCCATACCCATCGTGATATCCAGCGCCCACCCCCAGGGCTGTAGCGTCCGCGGCACGGCCTTGAACCGACACCCTCAGCCTCAAGAACGGAGTCTCGTAACCACTACATGGAGGTGTTATAAAAAATGGATCCATACCCATCGTGATATCCAGCGCCCACCCCCAGGGCTGTAGCGTCCTTGAACTCGCACCACAAACAGACAACACCACACCACAGACATGGCAATCAACAAACTTCGCTCGGACAACACGCAACCCCACCACCGCTACTTAACCTGGTCAACCTGCCATCGATAACAGTGATAAGCCAGGCCAATGACTCTAATTGATGGCGTTCGAGTCCCATGACACGACCTGCCATCGATAACGGCGATAAGCCAGGCCAATGACTCTAAGCGATGGCGTTCGAGTCCCATGACACATCTTGGCTCCAACCAAGTCCTTCGACATAACCTCCTTAAATGATTATTAAACAATGACAAAATGATGCAGTGACCTTCCCAGTCTCCTCCGACTTCCAGTAAAAAGATCATTCGAGACGATAAATCATAAAAGTGTTCAGCAGTTTCAAACAAAGCCCAGTTACAATAAGGAAGCTACTACAAGTACCCTGACTTCGGTCCGATTTCAAAGCGAGTGTGATGAAATCATCGCTAAGGATTCAAACTTCAAAGTCGTACCTTCTGATGGCTAAGAGACGTAATACACAAAACTTGACAAAAGGATTGGAAAATTGGAAATATAGAACATGGAAACTTGTTCTTCAGAGTCTAGTATGTATATGTATATATATATATAAGTATATATCGTCACAAACAGAACTGCCCGGTAAACCGTAGGCAGAGAGAGAGAAGAGGACAACAAACGAGGGGCTGTATATAATATGTGGAGTGCACATGCAGCTGACCTGAGAATAGTGATTTACGGGTTAGCTGCTTAGCCTTCTTGCTCGCCTTCTGCATCTTTCTACGCGCCGATAAACAATCAATCGCCCGTCAGCTTCCAAAATCTTACAGTTACCTCCTTGGCAAAATGCTATGTACTGTACTAAATGCTATACATACATCAATACTTCGTTGCCTAAACCCTCAACGGACTCTTCGTCACCACCTGTACCTTCCGCATATGCGCCCATACACTTTCAACATGTTCCTTGCTAACTGCTAGTCATCGCTTTACCTAACCAGACTCTTCTTGTCATCCCTATAACGCCTACAAACACGCCTGTACTTGTTCGTCGTTAACAGCTAGAAGAGGGAATATACAAGTAAGCTGCTCAGTCCTTAACGCTAATCTTACACTTAGCTTGCATCAGCTGCCGACCACATCCGATGAACGAGCAATCACTGGAGTGATCGCTCGCTTGCTCGTTTCTCCACTTCAAGTTCCTGACCAATTACTTCATGTCAAGCTAACGCTTAGCGTGCTTATTAGAGCTTTCAGACTGAAACCTACCAATTTCATTCTGCATAGGCATGCATCCTTTCTCTGCACTGCTTTGCATACCTCATTCAGTTGAATGTCTACTTCAGGCAGAATAATTTGAGTGAACATTTTGGCATCTCGTTCGATGAAAAATGCTATCGAGTCCTGACAACTAATTCTGCATACATATCCATCCTTTCTCCACACTTTTGGCAAACAGAAGGAGGATCTGTTCCAAGGCGCTCTGGCTCACACTCTACCGTCTTCCCCCGAACAGAACACACCATGAAAATGAACGTATGCAAGGCATGTTTCCGGCCCGATACAGTCAAAATGAGGGTGCGTTGTGTTCGGGGGAAGAAGGTAGTTAACCACTAGATCCCCAGAAAATTTACAGGTTCGCTACATAGGTAGTCCTTAGCTTGGCGCAGCTGCGTGCCACCAGCAGGCACTGGACTTGCATGCTCGCTCGCTCGCTCGCTTGCTTGTCTGTCCACTCGGCGGTCACACCAATTAATTACTTATTGTTGCGCCAACACCGAGCCATCCTAGATCTTTCAGACTGACATCTACAAACTAGTGCTGCATAGACATCCATCCTTTCTCCACCCTTTCTACAAATCAATTCGGCATAGGCGTCCATCCTTTCTCCACACTTCTAGCAAACAGCAGGAAGATCTGTTCCAAGGTGCTCTGGCTCACACTGTAGTCATCAATGCCAATTCTCTCTTTTTGGTCTTCAATAGTGCCAAACACTTGGGATAGTGAGAGCCCCTCAATGGGCAACTGATACTTCAACCTTTCCCCGTGTTCCTCCTCGAGGATTGCTCCTGTAAACTCAGTCTCAACAAATGTCTTCACAGAGCTTACCCTCTCCTCATCACTCCGCAATTCCAGATGATAGCCTGCATTAAAAAGACAAAAGACAAAAAAAAAAANCAATTCCAGATGATAGCCTGCATTAAAAAAAAAAAGAAAAAAAAAAAAAAAAAAAAAAAAGCACACAAAACTAATTATTACAGAGCATGCACATGCGTTTCATCCCCGTGAGCAAAATGGGGACCACCCTATATTCAATAACAAGCCTTGACCATCAGACTTCTTTCTGTCCTTTTTTTCCGTTGCTCCAGTCTATTGGTGGGGCGATATCACCTGCTTGAAACTGAGTCCAGTGTCCCACAGATATCCCCTCATGAATCCACCACCAGGGCCTAAACCCGGCTTCGGCTCAGAACAACAAAGAAATATGTGTGAAAATAATGCAGCAGCAACAGGAAAATGTGTGTCGAAATCGGCATCTTCAGCCTCCCGGGCCGCCAGATCAGCAGTAGCATTCCTGGCTGTAGATGCAAATCAGCTGCCTCCATACCACTGCATCTCCATTGGAGAAAGTTGGTGGAGCCGGGAAGAGGTCGGCAAACTCCGAGGGGACACTCACTGACCGGTGTATGGACTCTGTGCCTGTCCATTTTGTACTACATGCACGAGAAGCCGATCAACTTGGACATCGTGGACTCCGAGTGGGCATGATCCTATAGGGATGGCTTTGCTTTCGCGCAGCAGAGCTCGTGCAGTTGATTACAAGATGGGGGGACGGGCAGACACTCACCGACCGGTGTATGGACTCTGTGCCTGTCCATTTTGTACTACATGCACGAGAAGCAGATCAACTTGGACATCCTGGGGTCCACGTGGGTATGATCCTAGGGATGGCTTTGCTTTGGCGCAGTGTGGTTCGTGCTGTAGATTACAGGATATTTTTTTTGCTGTCAGTTAACAAAACATTTAGGAATCTTATGCCTTGTTGCATACAAGATGGGTTTGATGTCACAATTGGGAAGCTTATGCCTTTTTTGTGTACCTCCCCCCCAACCTTCCATTCCATTTTTCCATCTCTTGTCGACTTGTTTTTGTGTCAACATCTGAGGGCAGACTCACACTAGGAGTTTTCCAATTATTTCTGGATGGAAGTGACAGCAGATACATCCCAGTAGGACAGTAATCATTATCAGAACCGTCTAAGATTGTGCTAGTGTGAAATGCTCTGACACTATTTGTTTGCAACAGGGGGATCATGTGACAGAGATTGGCATTTGTCTTTGTCAGTGTGTAGCTTCGGTCACAGACTCTTGTCACTTGAGAGTTGTTGCAGTCCTATGCTAACATCCCTGAGGCACACCTCCCGAGAGCTTATGAACAGCGTTCAGTGCTTGTGAACGGCGTTCAGCTGACCTATCGTGCATGGAAGCATACGCTGTGCAGGGCATACCCTGACTAAGGTGTAGCATTCCACCCCCCCCCCCCCCCCCCCCCCCCCCCCCCCAAAAAAAAAAAAAAACAAAACAGTGTCTTTGCTAGGAGAGGTGGGACAAGCTCTCCCTCCTAGTAAGCAAGGAGGCGCTCAACGTCCTAAGCGCCCAGCTTGATGACTGGTCGGCAAAGGGTGGGATCCGTCCTGGCAATTCACCCTATGGTGCTCCTAATCTCTTGATGGCAAGTTGATGCAGACAATGAACATTGACCGGCAAATTTGTCAAATTGATAATCGGAAGTTACCGCTCGACTCGAAGGAATGCAGGCCCTCTACCTACTACAAGAAAACAAATTAGTTAGTACTCTCAGGGTTGGCAGTAGGTTTATCTTCAATTGGACCCACTATAAGGGACCCATTATAATTGTTTGTTAAATCCCTTAAGTGAGATCTTTATGAATCCTTTGATTTCTGCTGCTTCTGTAATTGCTGCTGGATTAGCAGTAGGTTTATCTTCAATTGGACCTGGAGTAGGTCAGGGTACTGCTGCTGGACAAGCAGTAGAAGGGATTGCTAGACAACCAGAAGCAGAAGGAAAAATTTGAGGTACCTTTTTATAGAAGAGTCGGTGCGTCGTACGACACTTTTCTCAACTTGACCTGAAGTCCACCTATCATTACATTCAGCTCAGACTAAAGACAGCAACGAGTCTGAATTTAAGACACATTATGGGCTTTAAGAGTGGATTGTGATGCTGCTTGGCCTCACTACTGCCCCTGCAGCTTTCTAGGCCGCCATGACTTGCAAGCTTAGAGCCATCTTGGCGGTCTAAATGAAAGGAGGAAGCAAAGATATCGACAACCGCCATGATGCTCGTAAAATATGCTGAAGAATCAACACCTGGATGCTCGTCGCAAAGATATCGACAACCGCCATGATGCTCGTAAAATACACCTAGCCACAAGTCGTCCCCGTATTTTGCCACATGCGTGAGTTCAGTCCTCCCAGGCAAGTTAGGGCTGTCTTCAACCTGCTCATGGCTAGATCACTCCGTTTCCAATCAAAGTGAGGTGCAGGAAATAACGAAGGTAGAAATGAAAGGGGTTAAGACAAGATCCTGTATCGCAGTGTCATAATGGAGATGAATCTTCACAAGAGCACGTTGTACTTGTGCATCTTTGTATTGATTGACGTTGTCGTGAGTTGTCCATGGAACCGGGAGAATGAAGCCAAAGCCTTGCAATTGGAAAAAATAGTTACCTTGAAAAAGTAAAGCAATCATCCACAAGCACACAGATGGCAGTAAACAATCGCAAGAAAATGATACAAACCAATTCAATCAGGGCAATTATTTGTGAAGAATGAACACAGAGCAAAGCATTGTGGGGTCACCGATCATTGATATTATAGCTTAGAAAACCTACAATGCACTCTGTACTACAGTCTGCAGTCATACTGGCGTTAGTTGTTATCTTGGAAGGAAGGTGAGCCCAATCTAACGAATACTACGAATATGGCAAGTTTGTGAAAGGTGAAGAGAGGTGAACCGAGGCCGTGATGCTTCCCCTCCCGGTGCAATTCTAGGCCCTGAACATTCTTGTTGGACGCAAATATAAATATAGATTCTGAGAAGAGCCATACGAGGCGAAGTCTCACATATGGTTCGGAAGCCGAGCCATATCAGCAATGAGATGGTTTAGGTCATCACTTATCTTTCACACGTTTCCGTGTCGAACACTAATGGTTAAGGACCACCTGAAATTTCAGAATGAAAGATTCTGAAGTGGTCTGAAAGATTCAGAAGTTTCGAGTGGTTTGAAGGATATTTATGTTTGTTTGTTTGTTTGTTTGTTGCCTGTTTTTGTTTTGGTTGCTGTGTGTCACTTGAAATGACCTGAAGTGGCCGAAGTACCTGAAACCCCTTTCAGAAGCTTCAACCACTTCAGGTCATTTCAGGAATTTTCAGGTGCGGACCTGAAAATCTGAAAGCGGTTTCAGGTGCGCCCCCGTCCAACCATTTAGATGGGGGGACCTGAAACTGCTTTCAGATTTTCACCCACTTCACGTCATTTTAGGAATTTCAGGTGGGGACCTGAAACCACAGTAATGACCTGAAGTGGCTGAAGCTTCTGAAAGGGGTTTTAGGTACCCCCATCCAAATGGTTGGATGGGGGTACCTGAATGGTTGGATGGGGGTACCTAAAACCCCTTTCAGAAGCTTCAACTATTTCAGGTCATTACTGCGGTTTCAGGTCCCCATCAGAAATTCCTGAAATGACCTGGTTGGATGGGGTTACCTGAAACCCCTTTCAGAAGCTTCCGCCAATTCAGGTCATTACTACGGTTTCAGGTCCCCACCTGAAATTCCTGAAATAACCTGAAGTGGGTGAAAATCTAAAAGCGGTTTCAAGTCCCCCCATCTAAATGGTAGGACGGGGACACCTGAAACCGCTTTCAGAGTTTCAGCCACTTCAGGTCATTTCAGGAGTTTCAAGTGGGGACCTGAAGCGGCTGAAAGTGACCTATAAATACCATCTGTTGTTAACCATCTCTCAAGTTGCCTTAACGCACAAGCAGCACCAGCACTTCCTCATCTTGCAATTGAACAAGTGATGAGCTGCTGCACTGCTAAATATAGGACATGACTTGGCTTGGCGTGCTTCAAACAAGTACAAGTCGGCCTGTCTTGCAATTAAACAAGTGATGAGGTCCTGCACTGTAGCAGCTAAATATAGGACTTGACTTGGCTTGGCGTGCTTCAGACAAGTCCCGGTCGGCTGCAGCCCATCTGCTGCAATCGTTTTGTCGGTCCGGTTGCTTCCGGACTTTCTTGGGACATGTTGCAAAATTGGACTTGGGACTGCTTGACTGGACTGAACTTTTCTTGTCGGGTACCGAATGGACTTCTACCGACCTGCAACGTTTCGGCCTCTACACCACACAACCTACCCTGCTGGGACAGCTTGGGATCGAGACCGCCTGGGACTGGGACACTTCGGGACCCTAGGACCGTAACACGGGATGTCTGCAGCGTGTATCCTTTCACAATACTCATCGCGTAGTTTCATTGGGCAGCGCTCCACTACTCATTGCATCGGTTCGTTGGGCCTAGCTCCATTACTCACCAAATGTGCAAAACGGGAATACACCTCATGGCGGAACATGAAAAGATACACATGTTACGATCCTCGTCATTCCCAAAGTGCAAATTCACAATGAAACACAATGCCACCCGATTGCGAAAGATATGAAAGAACTTGCAAAGAGATAGAGACCAAAGAAGAAGAAGAAGGAGAAGAAGAAGAAGAAGACGATGTACACCAGCAAGACCAATGACAAATCCCCCTTCTCTCTCTACCTTCCTCCTTCACTTCGCCAATCTTATTCTTCTTCCAATAATAATAATAACAATGAGTGGATGAACCAGAATCAATGTCCGAAGTTCCCTCTTACTGATGACATCACAATAGGTCCACCATAACTATGGCTTCCCCCCCTTCTTCCACCTCTCACATGCCTAGGCTATGGCGTACTACTGAGGGCCCTGCCCTCCTGTGCAAAGGACAACTCAAAGCAGCTATGTATGTCGCTGCACTCCTATCCAAAGGACAACCCAAAGCAGCTATGCCACTGCTGTCTAAGCCGCCATACCAG